GGAGCAGGGTCTTCAAAGCCATGGCTCTCATTTTCTCTAAAACAATTTGAAGAGCTGTGAAACCCTTTGCACATTTTGAAGTTGACATCCAAATTAAAAAAAAAAGGTAAATAATTGCAATGAATGTAATATCTGGTGTGGTGTAAATATTGACACTTTGAAATAAAGCTGTTAGTCACTCTTGTAAATGTATGAGAGAAGCTCAATACCAAAGTGGTTTTGGAACCACCATCAATCATTTACAAAAAACACATACACACATTTTTCTTCAACAGTCAGAAATCCTCATCATGGCATTTTTCATTAAACTCATTCTGGTCATCCAGTTTTGCGCAGAATTTTATTCTACTGTGACATATTTTTATGCTTGAAAGTTTCTATAGATCATCCCATTACACTTTTAAAAAAATCCTCACTAGAAGATATGTTTTTTCGTTTTTTAAAATCAATTTTAGAGAGAGAGGAAGGGGGAGAGAAAGAGAGAGAGAAACATCGGTGGTATAGAAACATCGATCGTTTGCCTCCTGTACTCACCCCAACCTGGGATCGAACCCGCAACCCAGGTACATGCCCTGACTGGGAATTGAACCTGCAACCTTTTGGTGTGTGGGAGGATGCTCCCACCAACTGAGTCCCCCAGCCAGGGCCCTATCACACTTTTTGGCAACAAATACCCATGTAAGCTGTAATAAATTGAATATTTAATAAATAAAAGAATTCCTTTTGTTTTGTTTCCAGTGACCATTCGACTCCTTTCACATGACTGAGGTCTTTGGGTAAAGTAAGTGACGCTGTTTCTCTTAGAGATGGGAACAAACCGGACGGTAGACCACTGGCCTGCCGCTGCTGGGGGAGTGTGGGCTTGCCCGGCTCAAGTTGCCTTCCTGGGGACTCATGGTGCTTCTTCACAGAGCTTGGGGGATGAAGGCATGAGTCACCGTGGCCACGGTCCCCAGTCCAGCTGCCCTGCTCTAGAACGTGCCTGAATTGGGAACTCGAAGACCCCAAATGTGACTTCTCACTCTGGGGTAGCTTGAGAAAGACTGGGGTTTCCTGCTCCATGAGAAACTGTCCATGAGGTGAAGCGTGCGCAGGGCTGCAACAGAGGTGGGCAGAGTGGTTAAGGGGGCTGCTGTCCCCATGCCCCTGAGGACAAACCAGTGCCCAGCTGGGGCTGATTGGGAAGGAGTCTCTAACCCCCAAATTCTGATGCCAGAACCCCTGAGCACAGGAAGCGGGGACCCTCTGGCAGCCAAGGCTGCCCCCCTGGGTGAGGAAGGCCGTGGGTAGGACCCTGTAGTGCTGACACCTGCCAGCTGGTGGGTGTGAAGGCGGAGGGAGGGTGGAGGACGGTGGGCGCCATTACACAGAGGTGCTCTGGAGAGGTTCCCCCCACCTTGCTGCACCTTCCCTGTCCAGGCTCAGGGGTTTCTGGTCCTCGAACTGATATGACCTCTGTGATGTCAGGCCAACACCTTTGGATTCACAGCCTGGCAGGGGCTGCTGCCTGGTGCCCTTGGAGGACTGTTTCTCAGGTGGTTTATTTCTGTCACATGTGTCTGTGTGTCCACCAGCACCCCCTCCCTCATGTCCCACAGGAGCTGGCACAGTGGAGCTTGGGAACTCACCCTGTCACCGACCCCCATCCTGCAGCTCGACTTCCACTCTGGGATGGACGCTGCAGCTGCGGGGCGTGTCTGAGGGATGCACCTCTCAGGCCCCTTCCTGCTCCACCTGCCCCCTGATGGCCAGGGCTCTCAGCTTTGACCTTCCAACTCTCTGAAGAGCACACACACGCATGCACACACACTCTCATGTATACACATGCACATACACTCACGTACACACACATGCACACACTCATGTACACACATGCGCTCTCACTGCACACACACAATACAACTCAGACACCCACACCCCCCCCCCTCACAAACTCACACTCACATGTGCATGGACTCACACATACGCACAGCCATGCAATGCACAAACATGCAGCACACATGTAAACACACACATTTGCCTCTCACACACATGCGTACTCACCTTTATTCACTTACTCTCGCTGTACACTCACACACTCACATGTAACTCTTCCTCTTCATCACCCACACATGTGTACACATGCAGACACATATGCACAGAGCAAGGAACGGACAGAGAATGTCAGGCCACCGGCAGCCTGAGCTCTGTCCAGCTCCCTGCTGTTCTGGAAGCTCATTCCACACGGAGCACCAGGCTGCAGTCGTGCGGTGGGCTTTTGTGCTGTGGAAACATTACATGCCAGTGGGACATGTCACAACACTGCTCCCAGCTGGGCCCAGGAGGCTGTGTCAATACTGTAACTCCCGAGGTTTATTCAGCGCTGGGCTGCTTTGGTCTGAAGAGTGAGGTGTGCTGTCTGTTCTGCCAGGGCTGCTGAGGGTGGGAGGGATGCTGGCCACCCCGGGGGGTGGGTTGGGGGG